AACATCTGGAATAATGCAGAGGAACATCTGGAATAATGCAGAGGAACCTATGGAATAATGCAGGGGGACATCTGGAAAAATACAGGGGAACATCTGGGATAATACAGAGCAGGGATGCCCAATACGTCGATTGCGATCTACCAGTCAATCACAAAGGCATTATTGGTAGATCGCATGGTATATAAAAAAACAAAAACAAGATGTCAGCCTATCATCCATCCTAACTACGAAAGTTGTTGATTGACAGACAGGGCAGCCAGTCACAGCCCTCATTCTCTCAAACCAGGACTCAGAGTGGAGATTTTCGTGGGGGGAACCCCCCCTCCCTCGAAGGTGTAAATTCTGTGTGTAAAGTCGCACATATGCACTCCAGGCAGCTGCAGTCCCAAGTTTTTCTGCTCTAACAACAGTTATAACAAATGTCAGAGAGCAGAGTGTTTTTGTTCTACTCACCCTTCTTTAGGACGAAGGAGCAAAACTAATAAACTGCAGTTCCAAAGAGACGTCAGTGTACTCACCAGTTTGGACATAACTGTGATCATGCAGACGCTGCATGCACATTCACTGTGCAACTGTCAGGGTTGCCAGATAAATTTAAAATGAGTTATTTACCTCCCTCTTTCTGTGCACATGTTCAACAAACATAACACACACCTCGTCTTAGAATATCTTGACTCAGCACATTTGACAATTTGAGTCAAAATACTATGATTTTAAAGTCACAGTACTATAGTTCATCATTTCTTATCTGGCAACCTGACTGACATGGAAAATACAGCGTTTTTCATGTAAACATGCTCAGTTTTTGTTTATTATCCCCAATAAACATTGAAAAATCACTGACGCTTCCAGGGGTTGTTCTTGTGTGAAACGGGGCCTTATAGTTGGTAGATCACTTTGACTTGGTCAGTTTAAAAGTAGCGTGTATGCTGAAAAAGTCTGGGCACTCCTGATACAGAGGAACATCTGTGGAATGGACTGGAGGTCCCACAGTCAAGAGTCAAGGAGATGTCACCAAGGGTGGTGGAGCATGGCAGGGCTAAGACACTGTGGGATTTCCAGAACCAGACTGACCAAAAGTTGATGGCCAATCAGACATTGAGGTGGTCGACAAGCTACAGAAGAAAGCCCTGGTGACAGATGTAGCAAACCCAAGTGACTGTAACATCAGGAAGAAGGAGCACAAGAAGCTGGAGAAATACCAAGGGACGAAAGAGGAAATACAGAAGTTGTGGAGAGTCAAAGTGTCAGTAGTCCCAGTGGTCATTGGAGCACTTGATGCTGTGACCCCCACACTGGAAGAGTGACTTCAACAGATCCCAGGAACAACCTCAGAGATCTCTGACCGGAACAGGAACAGCTTAGATACTGAACAGAACCCTCAAGCTCCCAGGCCTCTGGTGGATGATCCGAGTTGGAAGTGGAACGTGTGTGTGTGTGTGTGTGTGTGTGTGTGCGTGTGTTTACCTTTTGTGAAATAGTTGAAACGTTGACGCCAAATCTTTCTGCTCTCTTCTTTAGCTGATCAATATTGACCTGAAGGAAACAACCCATGTAAAAACATTGAACCCCCATCACTCCCATTAGCGGCAGCATCAATGATGATGATGATGATGAGCAGTTTGTTGAAACTTACAGCAGCTTTACTGTTTGCAACAACACCTGTTTGGAAGACAAGAAGCAGCATGTCGGTAAATGACAACAAGCTTTTCACAGTGACAGGAGATGATCAGAGACACATCTGTAGCTGGTCGTTTAATACGGCTCCACTTTACATGTGCAGTCTGGAAACCATCAACACCCGTAGGATTTTACAGCATGTGTCGAATATTAACCGTTGTGACATGAAGTAAATACAGAACAAATAAGTTGTGAATTTTACATCAAATCTAGCAGAAGAGTTCATAGAAAATCCACCTGATATCTTCTGGAGGTAAAAACCATTTCCTCAAATGTGAAACAAACATTTCATTAAGACGTTTTCTGGAAACCCAAAAAGTAGGGTCAAACATCAGCCCCCCCTCCCAAAACCAAAATGATGTCTTAGAGGCATAAGGCCAACATTTGTTAGCGCTACAGGTGAACTTTCTTTTCTTGTATTTTTGATGTATTTATACATAAGTTTTTGTTCTTTTAAGATCCTCTGACTAGAACACAGGTCAGAACATGATACTGCACCTGGAGAGGGACTGGAAGCATCAGTGGGTAAACCAAACCTGCAGGAAACAAGCAAAATAATTAAATAAGATCAACAAAATAATAAACATATGACCCCAAGAACATGTTTCAGACTTGTAGGTTGAGATTTAACAGCTAAATCCTGGTTAAAATGCAATAAATGCATTTGTCAAATCTGATGACAAAAAGCTTTTCCATGAGTGTCTTGAATGAAATGTTAAATATAATCCTACAGAATATTCTGAAGCACTTTTCAGAGCAGAACCAAACTAACATCCAACAATGATTCTGAGCTGAAAGGTCCTAAACTTTCTCACTTTCCTTGAACTCTGGCAAAGTTATTTTCAATAACAGCTGGAAAATCTCCATGCCTAAATACAGTCTGAGGTCTCCTTTTTCAAATGGCGTCAAGAAGTTCTCGTTAAAACACCGTAAAATAGAATTCAGACCAATTTTCCACGAGTTATCCAGATTAAAAGACATCTCAAGACGTATCTCTAGAAGCACTCATGATCTCAGGTTGATCTACAAATCAAACTGGAGTTTGACTGAATCCCTGACCTGATGCAACTGGTCTCATATTACCATCAAAATATTTTCAAGTCACCACTACAACCGGACTGTGAGCACAAATGCTAAAGATTTGGTTCTGTTGTACAAAGTTCTCCCTGGTAATCAGTATCTTACCTGACCGAGTACCCATAATTTAATAAACGTGTCACTAAAGTCAAGTCTTTGTTAAAAAGCTGTTAAAAACCAGGTGTCTCTTGTAAACGAGTCCCCGAGGCTCAATGGGACTAACCTGTAGAAATAAAGGTTGAATGATAAAACAACCAAAGGAGATGTGGAAGCAGTGAAACAAGTGGAGAAGCCCGTGTTCTTGCAAGAACTTTGTCCAAACTTCTGATCTCCAGATAAAAGTTTTCATGGAGATGAGAGCTGCTGAAGGACTCGCCCTGTGCTGTTCACAGCCAAACAAACAGCAGCAAACAAATGGACCTTATTTAAAATATTTCTTGACATGTCTTAAATACAAGTGGGTGATGGCCCCCCATTGCTGAGGGATTTGAACAGAGAATGTACCAGTAAGTAAAACTTGATGTTTTTGTGTGTGAGGAGTGTAAATATGATGGGTCCTGGTGAGAGAGCAATTTTAATCCTCCACCAGGTGCAATGGAAGAGCCAGGGGGGGGCCAATGGTGGCACTGACCTCCGTAAAGTACCGCAATCTTGGGCCACCCCAATCATTTGAGAAAACTATCATTTAAAGCAAAATAAACTAGAAAGCATATTTTCCTCATGATATGTGGCGGTGGCCATCTTGCATTTTGATGGAGCAACTTGATTTTTGAATGCAGCCACACAATAAGGAGGCCGTTGGCCCAAAGCTTGTTTTTCAAGCCATGTTCACGGGGCTTCCACATGTATTTGGCACTGGCCATCTCCGGTTTAGACGTGGCAGCCCAGTTTCCAAAAAGAACCGTTCTTCCTCTGAGATGCAGCCACACACCAAAATGGAAGTGGGTACTTCCCTTATTTTTCTAATGGTCATGCTCGCAACACGCACGAGCAGACGGACAGAACTTCCACCTCCTTGATTTTGCTCTGCGACGGGGAACAATCAACAACTTCAGTAAACCGTAGTTTTTTGAAGTAAATCAAAGAAGTCCACTGATGAACGAGGGAGCTCACCTCGCCACACGCATGGCTTTCTTGCTGTCAGCTGACGCCGGCACGTTGAAACGTTCAGCTCTCTTCTGTAGTCTCTGTTAGTAAAATAAAAGAACACTTTAAACATCTTCTAAAGTTACAGCCATGTTTAAATACATCATGAATTAAAAATAAAGTGTGACGTAAGCCAGCAGCAACATCACAGGACTGAGCTGAATGTGTTTGTTGTGAATTTGTTGGAAAGTATTTGGTATCCACCCGCTAACATTAGGACAGTCACTGTAAGAGAGGTGCATTTATGCAGTCACGTGTTTAGAATTACATATTTTTATTTAGTTCTTATTATTCTGTAGAAATGTAATCTCCCTTGACAGTGAAGAAAGATTTATTTATGTCAAAAAGGCCTATTTATATTGAATATGGCAGATTTATGACAGCAATAAAATCATAAAACATCCATCCGGGTGAATTATTTTTAAAGTATGTCCTGCTTTAGGAGCACAGAGCTGTATGGGGGGGGGGGGGGGGGGGG